TATATTATCATATTATTATTAAATTGCTATATTATTATCAATTACATTAATATTACAATTTTATTATATATAATTTATACTAATTACAAAAATTAAATGTTGTGAAAGCACTGTTTTTATGATTGTTTCTTTATACTATGCGCAATGAACAAAGCATTTTTCGTTTATAATTTTGTATGAAATATAATCCTTACTACTTAATACTGTAATTATTAACTTAATTTAAAATTTGAAAAATATATGAAAAATTTTAAGATAACATAATTCCTCAAAAAATACATTTCATATATCTATAATCTTTTTATGTTTATTTTGGAAGTGTCTCCTACAATTTCCACTTGTAGTAAATGATTTATTGCATACATTACAATTGTAAGGTTTCTCGTGGGAGTGTGTTCTACAATGAACTACTAAATTGTCTTTTTTTATAAACTTTTTCCCACACTGGGCGCATTGGAATCTTTTTTCGTCGGTGTGAGTGTAAATATGGTTAGTATAATTTGACTGATCTCTAAACGTTTTTTTACAAACATCGCACATAAATGGTTTTTCATTCAAGTGTATTTTACAGTGACGCAAAATATGATGTTTTTCTTTAAATGAACTGCCGCAAACACTGCATGTAAAGCGTGGTTTTGATTTTTTTATCGTTTTTACAGCAACAGCATGATCCAGGGTCTAGAAAACAGTTTGAAAAATGTGTTAGATAAGTAAGGCTCAGATATAAATACCCTTAAAAATACCAAAAAATGCTTTTTCAAAAATTAATTTATGACCTAAAAACTCCTAATTTTCCTAAAAAATACAAAATTAAATTGAATTTATATTACAATATACATTAAACATTTTAATTTTCATATTTGTTTCGTTTAATCAAAAATAAAATTCTAATAAAATAATTTTCCTGAAATATTTAAYATGTGAAATACACCAGCAGTATGTAATAATATACAACACAACTAAAATCATCTGACAATTGGCCATACGCACCAACGATATTGTTATGTACGTCTACACATCTAAATAATTGAAAAACGCAATGAGGTGGTTAACCACTATACTTTATTTGAACACTATGTTAAAAAACAAAAATACACGGATTTGTGGATGCTCTGGAGGCTCTGCTGGCTTGTCAACAACTGCCTCGCCTTGGGGCCGAGCGCGGTCGGGCAGGTCCGCTGTGGCTCAAAACTGTCCACGCAGCGGAATGCCATATATACGGCCGACCGTGCTCGTTCCCACGGCAGATACATGGTTACATATATGTATATGTCAAAGAAATGCTTATGTTACAAATACTTATATCCTTATATTACTAAATGAAATGGATTTATAACAATATAATAGTATCACTCGATAAGAAAAACATATTGTTTGTTTTATGTATCCAAATCGGCTAAGTGTATGGGGGTGATATAAAGATAAATTTCAGTCTTGTCTAATTTAAAACCGGATTAAATGATAGCTGAAGTTAAAAATAAAAATAATTTATAATAGGAAGGCACTACTAAATATCTGTATCATATTTCAATGCAAATATGTCCTGAAAAAAATTCAAAAATACCCTAAAAAGTATAAAATCCGCGTAAATGTATAAAAAAAAATGCTGTGGTTAGCATATGGAGTATTTGAAATACATTTGTAGCTTGGAAAGCATTATGTACTCGTAATATATTCCAAAGAAAAATATGTTTATACATAAAAACTATATCTCTATAGATACGTATTTGAAAGACACAAATATAATTTTCAACGGGTCTTTTTCGAGCAGAAATAAATGAACAGCATCTAAATTTAAAAATATTTTTAAATAACACCAGTGGTGGATCCAGGGGGGGGGGCGATCGCCTCCCCCCGTTTTCTAAAAAAAAATCATATCCATATAAAATTGTTGAGTATACAAGCGTAATAAGCGCCCGTCGCTGGTTACCGATCAATGACCATAGATAATAGATRTAATAACATGTTTTTGACGTTATCAAGAAATTGCAAGGTTTGATTAGATTAGCTGATTTCTGTTGAAACTCCAGCAATTGTCGTTGCAGGGTAATAGTGGGAAGGCGGGGCAGTACCGTACGGTTAAGCTTCCATGGCTTATAAATCATGCAATTTTTAACGAAATTAAATTTTTTAAACTGGTATATATAGAAAAACTTATGGTCTATAACTTGTATTCGAAACTTTTTTCTATTTTTTTTTTTAAATTTGTTTAATTTGCGTTTTACTTTTTTTGATAAGATTACGGATTTACCTCAGGTGCGGGGTAAATCCGTATGTACTCTAGGGCAAAATYGTATAAGGGTAATTGTTATACCAAAACACAGTTCATTATATTTATTGGTAAATTATTAATTGGTATTRGACTTTTATTTAATTAACTTGTAAAGTTTAACTAAAATTAGACAGTAGGTAATAAGTTATGTGTAATTTCATTTTCATTAATTAAAAATGTACCTAAACATTGTTTTCAATTTATCAAAATATCAACAAATTAATAACACAACACAACATGCGATAAAACCTACTCCCATTGGCAGTAGTACAACAAATACAACTTACCTAAGTACCTATATAGTTATTATATATAGTGTATAACCATACGATTTTGCTCCACAAGACTATTAAAAGTTATCGAGCTTCATATCAAACATTAAATTAATAAATGAATGTATTTATACTAAAAATGTAAATTACACTTAAATAGCTATTGAATAATTAATATGGCATATCTGAACAATTTTTTCGCATATAAAAATTCACTATTTGAAATTTTGATAATATTTTAGTAATTTAATGTAAAAATATAAAACGTATTTATTTTAAAAACGTGATATTMWAACACGTGTACTRTCATATKCAATAAATAAACAWACAAAACGTTTCAAATCGTTGTATTCAGTTTACTTCTACGATAAAAATTATTGATAATATTCCGATAATACGATTTTGCCCCGCATACGGTAATACCCCGTCTTCCATTAAACTGTTGACGTCCAATGTCTTTGTCTCGGTAAAGCATGATTGAGCATAGACCTTTTTAGCAACACGATTGAGCATAGAATATTTTATGCGATGTTGCCAAATTCACGTGGCCAACATTTTGTAATTTATTATTTTCACGTATTATTACACCAATTATTATTATATCTGACGCGAGCCGTGAGTCGAGCTCCTCAGCTTTATCGACAATGTTATCGATTAATAAACTAGTTCCGGAGCAAAACGACGTTTTAAACATTTTTCATCGGGGGAAAATATAAGATAATTACAGAATATAGATATTATAGAATTAATATCAGTGTTCGATCACCTATAGTCGTGTTTAGTGCGTTTCGTATAAGTGCGTTTATAGTTTCTATTTTTTTTTTAATATGGATATAAGTGATATAAAAATTATTTTATCAGAAAGAGGCAAAGAATTGGCCTTAGTGAATTTATACAAATATAAATTAATTGGAGAGCGGAAAAAAGATATTCTTTTGAGATGGAGGTGTACGAATAATAAATGTTCAGCAATAATTTTTCAGGTATAGATAAACGTAAAGTGGTTGAAACTGCTGGACAATATAAACACGATCAAAATTCTATTGAGAAAATAGAAACACAAGTTATTTATTTGTCCTAATAAAATTAATAAAATGTATGAAAYGTTTTTTATTATTTAAAAATATAATATTATGGCTAAACAGACCGCGATGCAATTAGGTAATGATCTGGGTAATGACATAGTATATTCCTCAGTATACACTATCACGACTAACGTCTGGTTAAACGAGTTAAAATAGGCAATACCCATGGTCATAATATAAATTTCATCTCAAATTATCTCATTTACTATTAAATATTTAAATACCCACAGATATTAATACAATTGACAATTGAACATATTGAAGAGGTAAAAAATTAATTCGGAAGGAACAAGTTTACCTGGCAAGGTTCCATCACAGGTATGTTGTGTATCTATTATAGATATTATTTACTACTGGCTTTTAATATAAGATTTTTAACAAGAATTTCTTTCAATATTTAAAATTGATTTTGAAATATATTTCAACCCCTGTATATAAGTATTTTGCTTAAACATTTATTATTTATTTATTTCATTATAAATTATAATTATACAATAGAGGTTATAGTCAATGCCCAATAACTATACATACAATCTGCTTTACATGTTTTACATTAACACCTATTTATATTATTATTTATATATTTTTATATTTTTGTTCTATTGAGGTATACGTAGTTAGGTAGCTATATAAATTTGTATTAGTATACTATTAACACTTGGATAATATAATAGGTATAATATACTACCAATATCATAAGAATGTACAAAGCTAAATAATTTATAGGTAATTGAATTTTTTTGAATTGAATAAAATAATGTGTCTTTAATGATTTGTTTGTGGGCATATACCACATAATTAATAACCTTTCAGTGGATTATTGGATACCCCAAGAACACATAATATAATGCATATAAATCCAGGAACATATATTCATTTGGGCTTAAAAAAAATGTTATCTCCTGTATTAAACTTCAATAAACATATGTTGACAAATATAAACGAAATTAATTTGGGCTTGAACATTGATGGATTGCCATTAGCAAAAAGTTCAAAAAGACAATTTTGGCCAATTCTTTGCTCTGTAACTAATGTACCACAAATACGTTCTTTAGTTTTTGCAGTTGGTATTTATTATAGTAAAGTGAAAAAACCAGAGTCAATTGAAGACTTTTTGAATTTGTTTATTGATGAAGCTTTAGATATAATTAATAGTGGAATATCTATAAATAATAAACTACTAAGTGTAAATATTAATCAAGTAATTTGTGATGCGCCGGAAAAAGCTTTTTTATTAAATGTTAAAGGTTTTAATTCGTGTGTAGGATGCAATTTATGTAATGAAGAAGGAGTTTATATTGACCATAGAATGAAATTTTTGGGTGTAAATTCATCATTGAGAACTAACAATAGTTTTAGGAATAAAGTTGATGATGAATACCATAAAGGGAATAGTCCTTTGGAGCGCTTACCTATAAATATAATTGAAGCTGTTCCCTTGGACTATATGCATTTAGTTTGTTTAGGTGTGATGAAAAGACTCTTAAAATGTTGGGTGAGAGGAAATCAGTCAGTTAGGATTCCTATAGTTATATGTAAAGATTTAGATACTGAAATGTTAAGTTTAAGACAATTTTTTCCAAAGGAATTTGTTAGATTACCAAGGCCATTAAATTTTTTGAACATTGGAAAGCGACAGAATTTCGGAATTTTTTACTTTTTACTGGCCCCTTAGTATTAAAAAAAAGATTAAAAAATGCCTTTTATTTACATTTTATGAAGTTACATTGTGCTATAAAAATCTTAATTACRCCTGATTTATGTTTATTGAATAATGAAATAGCTCACAACTTAATTGTTGAATTTGTCGAAGAATTTAAGATACATTATGGGGAACAATTTGTTACTTATGATGTCCATAGTCTAATTCATTTGTCATTCTATGTAAAAATTCACGGTTGTTTAGACAACTTTAGTGCTTTTAGATATGAAAATTATCTTGGATTAATAAAAAAACAAATTAAAAATTCTCAATTTCCATTGCAAGAAGCTGTTAATTGAATAATTGAAAAAATGAATATTTTTTATGATAACAATAATGAAATTACC